GCGGTTCTTGGCATTTCACTTCCAGGTAGGCAGGCTCAAAACTTGCCTCTCTCCCCTTAGGAAAAAGGAAGTAAGTTTTCATAGAAGAATCCTAAAGTTTCAGAGGTTCATGGCAAAGCTCTATTAATACATCAAAACATAAAAGAGCGTTTCCATCGCTGGGCCTGGCAGCGTAGGCTTGAGGCTACAGAACAGTGTTTCTTTCCTCTGGCAATAGGTTCTACAGAGAAATATTTCAGCGGAGTTTTTCAGTACTCCGAAAGACAAATCCGGTCAGGAGAGACAACGTACACGTTAGTGACGTTCAAGAGAGAGCAACTTACATTTGTTTTCTATGAACTGATGGAGGAGGCAGGACTTCCCTGTTCCAGCGCTTCCTATCACAAGGAACTTGAAGAGGAAATCTGAAGAAGAAAATAACCAAATTTTTTAACATGCATGCATGCACAAACTGGTGGGATGGGGGAACAGCTGAGAAAATCTGAACTTTGCGGTGAATAACTCTAGTGAGCAGAGGCATCTTTGTTTCCTAAACAGCCCCCGCAGAGGGAAACAAAGGCCTCGCACGCCTTTGTGCCAAGCTCCACAGCTGACCTTGGCAAAGTTGCTTCGTTTCCGCGCGGCTCGCTCCGCTCCCTCGCAGAGATGCCCCTGCACTCACCAACGACTCCACACCGCTCCTCCTGCTCTGCCGGGCTAAACGCTTCCCCCTGCTCGCAGCAAGTTTCTCCAGGTTGCGACACGGCAGCCGCGGCTTCGCCGGGACCGACCCCGAGCGCGCGGCGACCCGGGCGGACTCACCGGTTGGGAACCGGACGCGGAAGGCAGTAGCGGGGAGCGCAGCTGCTCCGCACGGGCATCTCCCAGGGATCCCCGAGAAGGGTTTTTAGCCTTGGCTTCAACGCCAAACAAAAGCATTAGGCAAAAAGGCCCAGGCACTTAAACCCTCTGAACCCTGCGTGCTCGGGATACTGACTCCCGGGAAAGGGACAGGCAGCGGCACAGCCCAGCTCCTCGGCCCGGAGCAGCACGGCCCAGAGCCCGCAGGCGCTTCCCGCAAACCATCCCGGTCCCTGGAGGAAAGGGGAAGGAACTGCTCCCTCCACCCTCCTGCTTGTTGCGCACCGAGGTTTGTCATCCCTCCGCCGACCAAGGCGCCGCGCAGCGAGCGGGATCCGTGAGGCGGTCAGAATTAAATGCCCTTTTCTAGCCTTTTTTTTGGGGGAGGAAGGGAGAAGGCAGTCACTAACAGCTGCAAGCACGGAGGAGGCCTTGCCTACCTGTCACTGCTAAGTAAGAGACGGGAGAGGGCTGCAGACAACGGAAAACACAACGCGGCAGCCAGCCCTCCGCGCGCTACCTGGGTCGATATCACTCCTGGACTCCCCCAGCGTTTAAACAATAAACATTCCCTAAGTCCAGAGAAAGCTGCTCTCCTCGACTTTCCCTCTGTGCTTCCCCAAGCTCCTTTTCTTCCCCTCCCTGATAAAATATGCAGCAGGAACATGAGACAAGCCCTTTACAGGAACATAAAGCACTGCCAGTAAACAGCGCTCTTAACCGAGCTGCAGCTGGATCCTAGCACCCCAAGGCAGCTACCTGGGGTCTGTTATCTCGCCGTTATCACGAGATAAGGGTAAGTTTATTCCACAAGATTCCAGAGTCTCACAGGACTGAGCCAGGCTCGCGTGGCCAGAGCCTCCCAAAACAGTCAACACGCACTTGGGGAGAAGAGTCCTCCCAGCAAACACCGCCGTCTTCACAAGGTGCGCGGTCCCTCCCTTCCCGCGCCGGCTAGGGAAACATGCTGGCGCCCGCTTTCGCCAGGGAGTGTTCCCGCAGGGCGAGAGAGGAGAGAAGCGCGAGGAACTTCACCCTTGTCTGCTCGTCTAACAGCGAGGCCGGGCATCAGAGGCGAAACGCGGGCGCAGCTCGAGAAACGAGTCTGCAGGCTCGAGCGGGGACGCCGGGGACTCGGGCGTCTTTTCCCTGCCCCGATCTCTCGGCGGGCTCGGGGCGGCTGCGGGGTTTCAGTAAACACCATAAACACAACCACAGGTACTAGCTGCGTAGGGGAAAGCCGTGTATATGCAAAGTACTTAAAAACCCACAGTATAAAAAAAAAAAGTCCTAAAGAAAAGACTTTCTCCTGAGTTACGTGGGAAATGCCCATAACTGAAAGCCGCATAAGGGCTGCCCTAGCCCAGCTGGTGCTGGAGGCTGGGTCTACCCCGTCATTTCGCCCTGCCCGTAGGGCTGGGGGAGGCTGGACTAGTAAAAGTTAATGGGGAGGAGGATGCACCTGCAGCTCA